CCAAAGAAAGAAGCGTTCTCTTGCTGATCGAAATAAAGTTCTTACGGTATCAAGAGACAATCCAGTACCATGGGAACATCGATTATGGACTGGTACTGAAAAGTTTTTTGAATCTATTTTCCCACAGGTTGGTGTGGCCCATCTTCAAATTGAAACAGAATTTATTCGTTATGAGCTACTTCTATTTATGAATACTACGCGAAATACCTTAGAAGCTGTAAAGGAAGAGCTCAGAGGTTTGCGACTGACTGCTCTACAAAATAGATTGGTTTTAGACCAACTGACAGCCTCGAAGGGTGGAGTGTGTGTTATCGTGGGCACTGCATGTTGTACTTATATTCCAGATAATGATGCTGATGGTCATTTGATAGATGAAGGGTTAATGAATATGACTAGAATTGCACAAGAGATACAAGCAAGAGATGCAAGAAACAATTCAAATGATGTGTTTGGTTGGCTCCCAGGGTGGCAGAAAATGCTAGTGAATGCGTTAATCCCTATTGGAGTGATTTTATTAATCCTTTCATTCATTGTATGTTGTATTATTCCGTTTATTAGACTTTTGATTGATCGTGCCATGAATACTCTTGTTGCTACTCAATATGCTTTTATGAGCAGACCTGTTAAAGGACACATGGGTTGAAATGTATCAAAGAGATAATAATATGGAATATAATCATTATGTATGAGAATGATATAAATTTAGGATTAGGGAACTCTGCAGCGAGTGTTTATGTATTCATTGTTTATTTTAAACAAAAGCAGGCAACTGTTAGAAAACACTCTCTGTCTTGAGATTTGTTCTAGATGTTTTCTCCCCTCCTTTTCTTTTTTCCTCTCTCTCACTCGCCCTCCCTGTACAGCTCTGTTGTTTTCTCTCTGAATCCTCCTCTATCTGTTCTCGATCTGCTCTCTCTCTCTTGTATGATGTTTTAATGTCTCTTACTCCTATTCGAGGTACGCATGCGCACATGTATGCATTAGCTTTTCTTGGTTCAAATGCTCAAATAAGGAGATGAATGCTAGGACTCCAAGGTAAAGGAGTTCGTGATGAACTATGAAGCGAGTTCAGCATCCTTCGCCAAAGTCTATTCCTAATATGTCCATGTTTTTCTGTACATGTGGCTATTTTATATAAACACATGTTCTTGGCCAAAGATCCTAAATGTATGTCATCTATATCCTCATTGGTTAAAGGGTTGAAACTTCCCTCGACATATGCCTATATAATATCTTTGTTTCTATGAATAAATTGAAGTATTGAGAATACATTGAATGTGTGTTTTCTTGCTTCCCGGCCATTATACACTTTGAGGGACTGAGAATTTTTCCAAGCGGCAAAGAGATATCGAGGGACCAATTGTTATTTTACTAACACCTGGTTTTCCCCGTGGTATGGAAATTGTCGCTCGGTTCGTCGCCCTAGCTCGCCTGGATCTCCCTTTCGTTGAGTATTCTTGGGAGTTCTGCAGGCTCGCCGTGGCTACGGCCTTAGTTGACTCCACCCTCAACTCGCTGTTCTGGCACAGGGCCAACTACCATCGCCCCGTGGACCTCCCAGACACCACGGGACTAAGCTGGAGGGAAGGAATCCTCCGGTGTCTGGAGAGCGTCCTGCCCCGAGCCAGAACCAGTCCACCTGCCACGGCATCGTCAAGTTCCCCGGCCGCTCCGAAGTTCAGCATGCCGGCCGTGCTGCTGTCATGCACGCCGGCCGCGCCGAAGACAAGCCCGCCAACCCCAGAGCTCGCTCCCGTGTCGGCTCCAGCCCCAGAGCTCGCTCCAGTGCCAGCTCCTCGAAAGCGCCTTGCTGTGCCTGCTTCTCCAGAGCGCCCTCCAGTGCCAACACCTCGTAACCGCTTCCCAGACCCCCAGTCAAGCCCAGGGAGGGCTCCTGATCCCCCGTTAAGCCCAGGAAGGGCTCCTGATCCCCCATTATGCCCAGGGAGTGCTCCAGGCCCCGAGTTCAGCCCCGTAAGTCTCCCCATGGAATTTTTTTGGGTGGGTAGTAAGGCTTCGGTCGGAGCGGGGGCTGGGGCCGCAGCCTCGGAGGCGGCTCTGCCATGGCTTCCTGAACTGTTTGCTCCGCCATGGCCTCCTGAGCTCCTGATGCCCATATTTGGTTAGTTTCCTGTTCCTGTCCTGATTTTGTTGATTTGATTCCAGGTGTTCCCCGTTTTAGTTCCATTGATCCCAGGTGTGTTCCGTCCTCTCCTCATCCAGTCATGTGTTTAAATAGTGTTCCCTGTTTTTAGTTCAGCGTCCGGTATTGTACATGTCTACCCGTGTTACGTGTGTTTTCCTTGTTCCCTGATTAGTATTAATATAATTTACATTTTGCAACAATAAAGGCACTTAAGATTTGCTATATAGTAAGTACTGTCTACTGGGGATAAAGTAGATAAAATTGGATATAATATATTTATTTTGATGAGCTGGGTGTTACTGAATATCTGCGTATAAATCTGGATGTAATATATATTCAACTTTATATATAGAGCTGGATAATATAATTTTTTTCATTTTGCAATGATATATTTTAAATTACAGTTCTGCAAATTCAATTCAAATTGGAATTTAGAAGGCTTTTCAATTTTGAATGGTGCACAACTCAATACAACACAAACAGACACACCTTGTAGCAGTAGCGGAACTTATTGGTGCTTTTCCATCCCGATGGGCATGATCCTGTTAGGGAGGGCGTAGGCTGAGGCACAGGAGGGCTGGGTATGAGAGAGTCCTGATTCTGTTTGCAGATGTATTTGGAGCGGATGCTGGCACAGTCCTTCACCTCCCACAGACCCATGGCTTGCCCCGCTACCATCACCACACAACTTGCCTTTATCTGTGCTGCAACACCACAAGACAAAAAGCAGGTTCATCTTTAGCATTTTTACGGCTTAGCACCAAATGATAAAGGGAATGATATATATAGACACAAACTATTCAGGTGCACACATGGTCATGGCATACACATGATTGTGTGTGTTTCTGTACCTGGCTCATCTCTGTTCCAGTTGGTGTATGTGAGCTCCTCTCCCGTTATCCAGCGGAACGTGCCGGTGCTATTGTCATTATACAAGCCGAGCCAGAACTGATCGTCAGATCGTCCAAACACCAGGCTGCTCACAAAGGCCTGCTCAAACCTGGAAACAAGCACATATGCACCTCATAAGTTGCTTCATAATTCATCGATTTCGGAAAAGCTGAATACAAAGAATACACCAGTCCATGTTGCTAGGCTTGTATCCAGTACCTGTTATTAATAACGACGAGTGTAGCATTGTTGCTAGCACACATTCCTTTTGCATCATTAAAGGTTAGAGATTCTTCTCCAACCTTGAAACAGGAAGGACTGTGCCATCTCCAACCCTGAGGAGATTCACCAGAGGGAGAGAGAAAGAAGTGTGCTATGTTATAATGCATTATATTATTCTTGCTTGAAAAATAATTCATTGGTAAATGTTTCTGAACAGTTCAGCATATTTTTTAGGCTAGTTATTTTTTTTTGCTAAATGTTAAATGCACAGTGACAACTGTGAAACATTTATGGGGGACATAATCTGGAAATTTTCAAATTAAATGCATGAACACCAGCATAAACCAGTCTGGACTAGAAAGGAATTCATGCTGGTCTAAAAGCTGGTTCTGTCAGTAGATGTATTTGACCTACATGAATTAAATTAATTGAAAATAATTCTCAAAAAAAAAAAGAAAAAAAAAATCACAGGAACAAAACATACACACACACACATGGACACCCACATTTTAAGGAATGTATCTAAATTACACGTCAGCACTTGGCAAGAGGCAGTAACTTGACCTCTCTGCCGGCTGTCTGCTTTACTGTTTAAGACATTACAGAGAGTCAGATGTGTTCTCTCATTGTCTGACAATGACAAACTTACTATGAATCCAAATTTAGCAGCCTGTTCCAAAAATGAAGATTCAATTGTTAAAAGTAGATTTTCATCTGCAGAAGGGGGTTACAATGCAGCAAAAGAACAGTGTTAATGCCTTATAAAATTGTTGAGATTTTTAAATCCAAATACAGAAAAAAAGAGGGGGAAGATTAATAATAAATGCAATGTAGGTACAGTATTGTTTCAAGGTTTTTGATTAATTAACATCATTCTGACAGTTCTACAGGGATCAAGTCTGCTGAAAAAAATCCACTCTGCATTAACACCTAACATTGACTCAAACACACATATAGATGAATACCACACACTATGAATCCAAATTTAGCAGCCTGTTCCAAAAATGAAGATTCAATTGTTAAAAGTAGATTTTCATCTGCAGAAGGGGGTTACAATGCAGCAAAAGAACAGTGTTAATGCCTTATAAAATTGTTGAGATTTTTAAATCCAAATACAGAAAAAAGAGGGGGAAGATTAATAATAAATGCAATGTAGGTACAGTATTGTTTCAAGGTTTTTGATTAATTAACATCATTCTGACAGTTCTACAGGGATCAAGTCTGCTGAAAAAAATCCACTCTGCATTAACACCTAACATTGACTCAAACACACATATAGATGAATACCACAAAACCTCTCAAGAACATGGCTATTTCACAAAATTATATTTTTGTCATGATTATTTTTATATTTTTTGCAGTATTTTCTTGAAAATGAAGCTCATTCTACATAACTGTTTGAAAGTGAGATTTTTTTAATGTTCCTGAAGCCTCTTATGCTCACCAATTCTGCATTTATCTGATCAAAACTACAGTAACGTTAACATTAAATATTTTGCAATATTATTACAATTTAAACAATTTATAACTGTTTTCAATTTTTTTATCTATTTTAAAATGTGATTTATTCCTGTGATGTAAAAGCTGAATTTTCAGCATCATTACTCCAGTCTTCAGTCTCACATGATCCTTCAGAAATTATTCTAATATACTGATTTGATACTCAAGAAACATTTATTATTATTATAGCTTTGTTTTTGTTTTTATAACTATTTGATGAATAGAAAGAACAGCATTTATTTTAGATAAATCTTTCATAACATTAGACTGTATATATTTTACTATCTCTACTGATGAAATTAATGCATACTTGCTGAATAGAAATATTAACTTAAGTATTAAAAATCTTATTGAACCCATACTCTGCATGGTGGTGTAATTCAATTTTACAAAACAAAACAAAAATCACAATACAGTATGTACATATTATGTTAATGAGTTTGATGACAAATGTCTTTGAAACAAAAAAGCATGTTGAATTGCACTGAAAAAAATAATGCATTGCATTAACAGTGCTTGAATTTTCATGCTTTGTATTTTCAGGGTTTGCATTTTTCGGGGCTGAAATTCACCAGTTGTTTATTTAAGCTGTGAATATTTAAATTTATTTCACACATATGTTCATAATTAAAAAATGCAATAATCCATATTCACTTCCTAAACATTCAATCTGTTTACAAACACGATGTATAATATTTTATTTCACTGTACGAATTCGCTTCCACAAATCCAGTGGTTCAAATTTGGCAGAATATTCAGCATTGCACATCCGGGTACTGCAGGAATAGCAGTAAAGTACTGATGCATGATCTGCATCTGCTGCAAGCGGGTGTTAATGGAGACCAAAGCAACAGGTAGAGCAAGTCATTCATTCACAAAAACTGATTTGCAGAAATGGAGCAAGTGGTAAGTAGAATTTATGATGATCAGGGCCAGTATGTATATGCGGAAAAGCTGATTAGGACTCAAAAGCTAGGTTTATGTTTAATTCAGCATCTTTGCCATTACTCGTTTCCCTGTGTAGCCACATGAAAGCAGCTTTCTCTTCCAAAAGAGATTTTAATGCTATTTTACATCTTTTGCTTAGTTGCTTAGTTTCCTTAACTTTATATCATGGCTTGTGCGACACGGAGTTAAAATACGGGGGGTTTCCCTCATATGTCAAACTCCAGGGTTCCCCAATGACGCTTAACGTGACTATGAACTAATACAGTGATATAAACAAGATCAAGCTCAGTATATATGAATATTTAGGAAGTGAACTCTGGAAAGTGAATTTTTAATTCTGAAAATGTGTGTGAAATGTTTTGAATTGAAATATTCCCAGCTTAAATAAACAACTATGTTGAATTAAAACGCAAGCACTGTTAATGCGATGCATTCTTTTTTCAGTTAGCACATTTCAACATGCTTTTTTGTTTCAAAACATTTATCATCATTTTTCTTCCATAGTCTATCAATGTAAGTCAAAAACCGCTGAAATGATCTGCAAAATGAAGTTCGAATGGGGCTGACTTAACTGACAGACAATTGTGGTGAAGAAAAATAAAAAGAAGTCATATAATGTATTTGAAAGAACTGTAAGCATATATGAAGCTGATGAGGCGTGCATTACTTTTACTATTTATTCTTTCCCTATTTTAATTCTGTCTCATTTGTGATAACAATAACCCCCTAACCCTAAATATTCCATTTGGACACATAACTTGTCCTTAATTTGTGTTATCTTAAATTGTGTGGTTTATTGAAAAAACGTGTGCTATTACTTCTATAAATTATAGAACTTACTTTTTATTGCCTGGTGGCACACAGAAAAAACTGCATAGACCTACATTATAGGACCTGAATCTTATTTCTGACAGCAACCACCCAGAACACCCAAGCAACATGCTAAAAACATCAGAACTCTGAAAATCAGAAATCAGAGTAAGCATATATGAAGCTGATGAGGCGTGCATTACTTTTACTATTTATTCTTTCCCTATTTTAATTCTGTCTCATTTGTGATAACAATAACCCCCTAACCCTAAATATTCCATTTGGACACATAACTTGTCCTTAATTTGTGTTATCTTAAATTGTGTGGTTTATTGAAAAAACGTGTGCTATTACTTCTATAAATTATAGAACTTACTTTTTTTTGCCTGGTGGCACACAGAAAAAACTGCATAGACCTACATTATAGGACCTGAATCTTATTTCTGACAGCAACCACCCAGAACACCCAAGCAACATGCTAAAAACATCAGAACTCTGAAAATCAGAAATCAGAACACTTTTACAACCAAACAGCAACGCCCTGGAAACCCACAGCACCCTAGTTTCGCATAGGTGAGAACAGTTTTCTTCAGGTAAAAAAGTAACTTAGTCAAACAGACTGTTTCCACAAGCTTTAGGGTATCCACAAGTAACCTCTGAACTCTGACCTAGGCGATGGCATCCAGGGTCACAGCTCTTATTTAACAGATGCCTATTACCAGGGTCACAGCAAGGTAACAGCAATAATGCACACACTCATTTAAAACAAAGAAGGTTTCATGTAGAGCTGCTGTAGACCTGGATAAATTGGATGGAGGGATGACAGACATTAGGCAATGAGAATGAAATGTAGCCAATGTATGCATATTTCATTTCTGTGTGCTTGTTAGTGTAACTTGGTCCATGACCTCAAACTTTTTGTCCTTGGTTAGCAAACAGTTATGAGTTATGAAGACTAGCGTGTGTGAGTCAGACTCCTCTGTTTACTGTATGCTTGTGGCAGGTCTGGGTCTACTGACCACATCTGGAGTTTTAACAGCATGACACAGCAGCGACTGTGAATAGAGTCTTTATGCAGAGAGAAAGAAGGCCACAGAAAGTATGTAGAGGGAGAAATCCAGCTAAACAGCAGTAACAAACAGAAAACTGCAGGAGCTGCAGAGAACAAAACAAGGAAGGGTAATTAGAGGATTAAAGCTAATGAAAAAGGAAGAATGATAAAGAGGAATGAGAATTATAAGGAGAAAGCCAACAGAGTGAAAAACCAGAGTGCTTTACCCGTTTGCAGCCATGGTCCTCTATCCGGTCGTCAGCCTTCTGAGCTGCTTTCTTACAGATTGAGGGCAGCGAGTAATTACATGGGCTATCATTCCAGCGGCCCTCCTACAAACACACATACTGTATAATGAGGGGTTATCATTATGAAGCTGCTATAAATTTAGACTTTTAGGATTACTGTCTTAATTACGATTATAAAGAAAAGCAGATTCATATATCCGTTAACATCATTCTGACAGTTCTATACAGATAAGGTTTGCTACAAAACACATTCTGCATTAACTCACTGTACCTTTAACTCAAACTCACATAACTTTCTCTCAAGAACATGTCTTGCTATTTCACCCTAAAATTATACTTTTGCCATGATATTAATTTTTATATACAAAATACATTTTTATTAGTGCTGTCAGTCGATTAAAAAATTAACTAATTAATAGCACATTTTTCTGAAATTGACCGCAATTAATCCCACCTAACATTAAAGTTTTTAAATATACTTTTATATTGCAATAATTTCACATTCAATCTTTAAATGAATGCAGAAACAACATAAAGAGAGTATATTTTTAATATTTGTTTATCTAAGGCGAGTATCACTGATATCGATAGTGTTGTCTCTATGTAACAGTTTTCCCCCTAATATTTAACCATTACTATAGCCATTCAACATTACAGTATAATTGAGAGCTATCAATTTTAACATTTATTAGACCTTCAAAAAATAACTTCTAATTTAAGTGAACTTATAACAAACTTCACATAAACCCATTATAATAAATGTCATATTTAGCTACCTGTGCCCTCCAGCAAGTAGGAAATATACAGAAATTGAATAAAGTTACCAAACACTAAATTCTAAATTAAATATAGATGAATCCTTAAAGCTACAACAGATTTTCTTCTTTTTTTTGGTTCTTTGATTAACAGACATCACAGTAGCTGGTTATTAGGTTCTTTTGGCTGCTTTAAGAGCTGCGGCTGCTGAACATTATGCGGATCTGACACGCATCGTATTTTCACACAACTCTTTACCTTTTCTGAGTCACTTCAGCTCTTAAAGTTGATGCTAGTAATAAGATGACGAGTTGAATCGGGTGTGTTAGATGAGGGAGGCAGTGCTTGGCTGCTCCAGACCAGGACAGTTTTGAAAACCACTGCATTTCAGAGACATGTTCTTAAATGTGACACACAAATACTTACATACATGAACAGATTTAAGGCAGCTTTAATTGCCTTTTTGGTAACGTCATGACTTAATTGATGACATAACTACAACATTGCATGCTCGTAGTTTCATTTGAGATGTTGTCAGACATATGGCCTGACAACATCTCATCTGATCACAGTTCTTCTACTAAAGCTCCTTTGTCACCTGTACCTTTTTTTTTTTTACTAGCGCCTGGCGCTGAGGTGAAGTTGGAGTGTGCACCTGAAAAGTCTCCCGTTTAATGTGGTCGCAAAGATGTTCTTCATCTAAATAAATACAATTCAAATTCAATTTTAAAAAAGAGACAGAAGCAGCAGTTGTGATTGGGGTGGCCAGCCCTAGCTCCACCTCTGAGTTAATTGTGTTAAATATGTTCAATGTGTTAAACTGAAAAATGTAAACGCGCTAATTTTGACAGCACAATATTTCATATTCATATTACTATATATTTTTTTTTACTAGCGCCTGGCGCTGAGGTGAAGTTGGAGTGTGCACCTGAAAAGTCTCCCGTTTAATGTGGTCGCAAAGATGTTCTTCATCTAAATAAATGCAATTCAAATTCAATTTTAAAAAAGAGACAGAAGCAGCAGTTGTGATTGGGGTGGCCAGCCCTAGCTCCACCTCTGAGTTAATTGTGTTAAATATGTTCAATGTGTTAAACTGAAAAATGTAAACGCGCTAATTTTGACAGCACAATATTTCATATTCATATTACTATATATATTTTTCTTTTTGGCAATTAAGCTTGTTCTACACTACCATTTAAACGTTTGGGGTTTGGCTATGCTTATGTCACTTATGCTTATCTGTGTTTATTTAATGAAACAGTAATACTGTATAATATTATTACAATTTAACACAACTGTTTTCTATTTTAATATATTTTTTAAATGTATTTATTCCAAAGCTAAATTTTCAGCAGTCATTTCTCCGGTCTTCAGTGTCACACGATCTTTCAGAAATCATTCTAATATGATGATTTGATGCTCAAGGAACATTTCTTTTTTCAGCTTCTATTATCAATGTTGAAAACAGTCGTGTTGCGGAAAGTTTTTGTTGAAACTGTGATACATTCATTTCAGCATTCTTTGCTGAATAAAAAGTTAAAAAAGAACAGAATCGGTTTAAAAATTTAAAAATGATAAATATTTTACTATCATTTTGATCAATTTATTGTGAATAAATATGTTAATCTTTTTTTTTTTAAAGTTATTTTTGCATTTCTCCTATTCTATAGCTTGTTTCCTAATCTAGTTGTCAAATAAACCTGGCATTGTATTTTAAGAATATGTTTGGATCCATAAATTGCTTTTGTACCTCTTTAGTTCTTTGCTTTGAATAAAAGTGTATGCTAAATGCATAAATGTAAATTAATGATTGTGTGGCTTACTGAAGAAACGTGCTATTAAAAAAAACATACTGAGCCCAAACTTTTGATAGGCCTATATATCTATATGCATATATATTTATATTTATATATACTCACAGGCCCCCAGATGGTGACACAATCCTCATTAACATTTCGGAAATTGTTGGGTTCAAATGGATGCCAGTAAGTGAATATGACTGGAGTGTGATCTGTCCATTCAAAGTTCATCTGCATAGCTGTATCATGTAGACCAATCCATAACTCCTCTATATCTAAGACACAGGAAAATAGAGAGTCTGAAACATCATGAAGCTTGTGCCAAATTGTATAAAATATTAAGACCAGTTGCCAGAGAATATATATTGAATTAAGTTTACTTTTACCCCATTGGTAAATTGCTTTTATATTATTATAAGATTATTTTATGTATTATTGTAAAATAAACAAAATTTAGTGAGGGTTATGCTCGAGAAATAAAAAAAGTTTTTTTTTTTTTTTGCCGGAAAGACAAAAATACTGATAAAGCAAATGTGTTTCTGTATATTTATGAATGGACATTTGCATGTGTATACCTTTCTTCATATGCTTAGTGATGAATTCAAGCTCTGGGAGGGTGTGGATGCTAACAAGGTTAGCCTCCATCTTCTGACACATTTTGTGGGCGGAGCTCCAGTCCAGGTTTTCTGAGTTCTGCCTATAGCAGCCCGCCTGGAAGTTTTGCCAGCCTACATCACACTGGTACCGCCCGTCATCTGCCCAGGAGTCTGTTTCACACACAGACACAGGTGAGATCCTCAAGACCAAAGCAGACTTTCAGGTAGATCAGCAGAATCCAAACTAAAAACTTCTCGGCATGCAGAAAAACATGCAGTTTTGGGGCAAGATACTCAAATTGCATGGCTGGGCCAGTCAAGGTTTACCCCTGAAATAAATCAAGTCATATTTAATCATTTAAAGAATAAGTGCAAGCAGTGGTAACATTGCTCTGTACATTTATATGTGAACCACAGACCGCAAATGTGCATACACACACTGCACACATACCTGTGGTGAAGGGGTCAAGTGTGGCATTGGGTCGTTTCTTGCAAATGTAAGGCAGAGCCACTGAACAGTCCCGGTTGTGCCAGCGACCCTGAGCATCGGTGCCGATCACTCCACAGTTTTCCTCCTCATCATAGCTTGGCATTTCTACAACACACACACATCCATGGGATAAAAATACCCCCTTCCTAACTGAAATGCAAATGAGCTTTTCTGTGCCAAATAAAATAAAAACTACTAAGAACACTAAAGACAGCAGAACAATGAAGTAATACTGTTTTAAATTTAAAAAGAAATATACAGTCTGCTGGTCATTACTGGTTTATTTTTTGATCACTGGTCATTATCAGAGGGCTAATAATGCCAAATAAATAAATGAATAAATAAGTAAATAAACATATAAATTCACGACCATTCAAAAATACAGTAAAAACAACAATATTATGAAATATTACTACAATTTAAAATAACTGTTTTCTATTTTTAAAATATTTTAAAATGTATCCCTGTGATGGCAAAGCTGAATTTTCAGCATCATTACTCCAGTCTTCAGTGTCACATGATCCTTTAGAAATCACTCTAATATGTGCATTTGGTGCTAAAAATTTCTTTCTTTTATCAATGTTAAAAACTGTTTTTCTGCTTATTATTTTTGTGGAAATTGTGATTTCAGAACAACGTTTATTTGAAATAGAAATCTTTTGTAACATTATAAATGTCCAACGAATGGAATTTTTTAAAATCAATTTAATTTATGTTTGCTGATTTAAAGCATTAATTTCTTCCAAAAAGAATCTTACTGATACAAAACGTTTGAACAGTATAGTGTAAATAAATAAATGGACATGAATTAATGACAAAAAGAAAAATTGCAGGTCATTGATTCAATAGAAATAATTCCATTGCTATATATGAGAAGAAACTATAAATACATAAAATTACCACAGTTATAAAATTTAAACAGCTGCCATTATAAGAAAACATTGACTGCAGAATGCTTCAATTGTCCAGAATGAATTATTCAGCTTTCGATTGCTGAAGCGTTAGTTGAAGTTAGCTAAAGTTTAAAAAATTGGAGTGGGTGTGGTTATATGAGGGTGTGGCTGTAAGGGGTGTGGCCTCACCTGCTTCCCAGTTTAGGTATTTGAGAGGGGCGGAGTCAGCCCACTGCCAGCCACCATTGAGATCTAAATCATTCAGGCCCATCCACAGGGCGGCGCTGTACCCAGTTAACAAACCTGCAGTACACACATACTTTATAAATGCATGCCACTGAGTAAAAAAATAAATAAAAATGAGAGTAGCAAATTCTGTCTTGTTTGTTCTACATTTACCAGAATCCTTTCTTTTTAATCCCTTTGCAAACCAAATAATTTTTAATGTAATGAATGCAAACATGTTTACATCCCTCCGTCTCTCACCGTTAATAAAGATTTGTTCCTCTACTTTAGTGATGCTGAGCAGGTCCGCTCCCTGCTGCTGGCAGCTGGTCCGTGCTTCACTCCAAGACAGCGTGGCCTGAAAGTTAATCTGGTAACAGTTATCCATCAAAGGGTTTATGTCCCAAAACGTCTCACAGTCAGTACCTTTGGAAAGAGAGAGAGATGCATTTTAGTGCGCAGGAATATGTGCACTATGATGTAGAGTAGTCTCACATTCCAGCTTCCAGACTAAAACAGTAAAAGAACGTCCTGAATTTAGCAGGCCAGGTCTTTGAATGACGTGTCGAATTCACTCACTCATTACTGGGCAGAAGCCCCAGCGCTGGTCCTTTCCGTAATCATGAGTAATGGCACACCAGTGAAAGCCATCTTCCCTGCCCACACTGGTGCAGCTGTGGAACCACTGGCCATCGTAGAGGAAGGGGAAGTAACATGGGCTGCCATGAGAGTTTCCTTGGATGGTGTAGATTTCTATGGAGAAGAAGAGACAGAGAAACACAAGCTGCCTAACTTCCAGAAGGAATTCATGATTACCACCAGGGAATGATAAATACATACAGTGCCCTCCACAAGTATTGGAACAGTAATGACAAAATTTTTAGTCAAGACATCTGCAAATATGATTAAAAGATGAATATGAGACAAAACTACAGAATGTCACATGTTATTATTAGCCGTTTCAATACATTCATGTTTGACCAAATAAAAAGGACAGCACTTTTAGAGTTTCATTCGCTAATCTTATGTGAGCATAAGTATTGGAACAATTGAACTTAAAGCAACTGTAAAAGTTTAAAAGCTAATATTTAGTTGCAAATCCCTTGCATGCAATCACAGCAGTGAGTCTGCCACCCACAGACATCACCAGACTCTTGCTTTCATCCATTGGAATGCTTTTCCCAGCCTTTAATACAGCCAACTGTTGCTTGGTTTGGGGAGTTTCTGCCTTTAGTCTCCTCTTTAGCTGGTGAAATTCATGTTCAATTGGATTTAAATCTGGAGACTGACTTGAGCAATCTAAGACCTTCCATTTCTTTGCCCTGATAAACTCCTTGACTGAGCTAGCAGGGTGTTTTGGGTCATTGTCCTGTTGAATTTTGAAGCACTTTCTGATGAGTCTTGTGGCATTTTCTTGAACATTGGTAGCCAAGATGTTTTTGTACACTTCTGCATTAATTCTGCTATCACCATCATTCGTTAAGTCATTAATAAATTCGAGAGAGCCTGTTCCAGAGGTAGCCATGCATACCCACACCATGACACCACCTCCACCATGCTTCACAGATGAGGTGTTATGCTTAGGATCATTTGCAGTACCTTTTTTTCTCCACACTTTTGCTTTCCCATCACTTAATGTCCATAAAACTGTTCCAAAATTCTACTGGCTCACCTTTGTGCTTTTTTGCAAACTCTAATCTTGCCTTTCTATGTTTGCTGCTGATCCCAGGTTTGCATCTTGCTATGTAGCTAATGCTGTGGAAGTCTCCTGCGGACAGTAGATTGTCAGACCATCACTCCAGCTTTCTGGAGGTTGATGGGGATTTTACAGACACTTATTTTAGGGTTCTTTTTCACAGCTTTTATGATTTGTCTGTCATCAACGGCTGTTGTTTTTCTCAGCTGACCAGGTCGTTGTTGGTTGCTGGTAGTCGCCGGTGGTTTCTTTCTTTTTCAGGACATTCCAAACTGTTGATTTCTCCATGCCCATTGTTTTTGACATGGCTCTAATTGAGTTCCTCTTTTCTTTTAGCATCCAAATGGCTTGCTTGTCTTTCAAAGTCAGCTCCCTCGTCTTCATCCTGCTTTGTGTGTGTTGCCATCAAATGCAAGACTCAGAAAGCAGAAGCAATGGATATAACTGATACAACACATTCCCTGCTTTTAATATCTGAACAATTAATGCAACAGGACACAGCTGATCACTTGAAACACCTGTGAGTCAACTGTCCCAATACTCATGCTCACATCACATAGGGGATGAAACTCTAAAAGTGCTGATCTTCTTAGTTGGTAAAACATCTATATGTTGAATCACCCAATAATAAAAATGTGACATTCTGTAGTTTGGTCTCATATTCATCTTTTAATCATATTTGCAGATGTCTTGACTCCACAGGAGACAAAGCAATTTAGTCATTACTGTTCCAATACTTATGGAGGGCACTGTCGCTTGAATGTGGATACAAACATCCGCCAAATTAAAGAATGTAAATGTAGGAGAGGAGAGGGAGCGTTTTATCATGAAGAACATTATTGCTGTCTACTGCTTTTATGTGAGTTTTAGTATCAATAGTCCATTCCACCATAAAGCAGTTATCCTAGAAGTAACTACGTAAATGCTACCTGGCAGTTATGGGTGAAAACAGCTTTTCATTTGGTCAGACTGTGTGGCCGGACATAACTGTGTTAAAATAGGTTCTGAAACCACTACAATTGTGCATTGTCATGCTACTCAAGAAAAAACATGGATGTAGTCATTAAACACATTTTTTCACTGACTATACAATGACAGATGATAGACAGATGGATAGAAGGATAGAAGAGACAGACATACATAGAAAAATAGATAAATAGAATGAACAATAGTATATAGACAGACAGACAGACAGATAAATAGATAGATAGATAGATAGATAGATAGATAGATAGATAGATAGATAGATAGATAGATAGATAGATAGATAGATAGATGCAGTGAAATATATGATACTTGATAGTCAGTTCATGTCTATGTGAAACTTCTGCCTCCCTTGCTGAACTCTCTTACCCCTCCTCTCTCCTTCCCTCTTTGCATTTTCACACTTTCTTCCTCTCATTTGCCCCTCAGGAGGAATGCAGCTGTTACTATAGAAACCCCTGGGCATTCTGTCTGACTGTACAGATTAGCTCTCAGTCTACAAAGAGAGAAAACGTGAGGGGGGGGGGTGAGTTATACTAAGACAAAAAGATAGAAAACTATAGGAAAAACAGAGAGCACATGTCAGACTGGAGAGAGGGTGTGCAGTTGCGTTACAGTTCTACCGCTGCTGTTGTTCAGAGCTGTGGAAAAGTAGGACACAGACGCACTTCCAAAAACACTCTCAACTGAACTTTCAGAACTTACGCAGTTTCATTCTTGCAAACACACACACACACTCAAGCATAAAAACAGCTCTGTGTTGGCACATATCAGTGGCAACTTTCTGTCAGGAACACTCCAGAAGCGACTCTCACAGAGACCACGAAACACAGAGGTGAGAGGAAAGAGAGGGGAGGGATATGTGCTGCGGAGTGTCTGCTTCTGAAAGAGTTTAACAGTTCCATTTCAGTTCAGTTGCCATTACACTTAATAATGATTCTGGTTCCTTAACGAATCCATTGACCGTTTCTGCAAGTTCTTTTTAAACCCCCAATAACTATATATACTAAACAAAAATGCAATTAAAAAATCATTTTCAGTAAAATATTTCAATACAGTAATTTCAAGTAGCACTAAATTCTGTTCAGAATGTGTATAACATTTAATATAATAATATTTTTAACTAAAATATTATTTTATTGTAACTAAATTCTGTTGTAACTAAAACCAGTGTCCATCAGTAATGTTATGACATAAAAATAAAATAAACCTAGTATTTCAAAAAAATATATAGTTTTTGCCTTCTGAGAGGACGTGGACAACTTTTAGACAAGAAAGAAACTTCCGGAAGATTACAAAAAAATCCTCAGTCATTGTGAGCCAACTAAACCCCAATTTAACTACTGTAGAGTAATGAATGACTGTGATTTCACATCTAAATTAGTCACTCTGAGACAGATTGTCTGATGGGGCTCAGACTGAGAGACG